TATCCCAATTACTCTCTCACACCCAGTTACACATACTAATAGTAGATAGGTAGAAGATGGATTAGTCATCATAACTGGATAATTGGAATTCACATCATAACCTAATTTAAACAAATACTTTCTTCTTATTCTTTTTACTAAACCATCTATCAGATGTGCTAACAAAGACCAACATTATCCGATATGTACTACAGTTTCCTGTTGGAGGATGTCATTGAGAGGATGTGATTGCTGGTTGACCTGTGAGTTGTACCAGAGCAATTGAGGCTCCTTACCCCTACTCCTGTCCTTGAAATGTACATCCTGTGCACCACTCCTGTACTAGATGCCTTGGGAGAGTGATGTGTTACTGTGTATATAATGGAACCCCATTAAGGCATCTATATAAACACTTATGATTCTTGCAGGCAAAGGCAGAGATAATCTTATCTTGCCACTGCCCAAGACAAGCCTGGTTATGTAAGTTCCCTTGCTTGTTAAACCTGCCACCTACCAATCTGGTGTGGTCTGCTTCTTTCTTCTGCCTCTCCTGCCCTCTGTGTACCGGAATTCAAATTTCACCTGGAGATCTCCAACATTCCCTCATTTCCACCCAGCCGGCTTGTCCCTGGCGATGGTTCTAATGATGACTGAAGTCCCCAGAAGGAGAGAAACAGAAATCCTACAATATCCAGAAACTTGAACTTTCCTGTGAATCAGTACAAAGGAACTGTATTTTAATGATCTTGCCCTGCCTGGCTTGACAGAATTTCTGTTTAACCCTTCCCCGGGAAGCACAAACTACTCCCCGGAAAGGCCAGCACAGTTTGGGGACATAGACACAGAAAAGCAATCAACATGATAAGAACTTCCTCTCTGGCCGTGGAGTTTATGATACTCGAGGTAGTCAAGCTCCTTGCATCCCATAGGTCACATGGTCGTGGTTGGGGTGGGTGGTGTAGAGTGTAGCAACATTGGTTAGATTCAATGTGGCTTTCCCATTGTCTGAAAACTTATGAACTGCCTCAGAAATAAACCACAGTACCACATCACTCTCTGAGCTCTGGATACTGCAGAAACGGAATCAGTTTGCTTCTAATTTGATTCTAAATAATTCACTGTTTTCTGGCCATCTCTTATCTGAAGACACACACACACACACACACACACACACACACACACACACACACCTTTTCTTTTATTCCGTCTATTTCCAAATGTTTATGTGGGATGAAAGTGAGCGGGCTAACCCAGGCTAGAGCTAGGACAGCTGATGCTGTCACCGAGTTATCTCTCCCTGACATGTAAGTCGGCCAAATTGCCACAGCCAAGTAGCAATCATTTGTCTTTTCCCTCATTTCCTCAGAGCAGAGGCTGATGTTCAGGGTGGTTTTAGAATATGGACAGGGGTCTCCACAGCCAGGAAAAGACATCTGATGCCTCCCCTCCCTTCCCCCAGCCTGTGCTTAGCGGCTGGGAGTCCTCTAAGGCTTGAATGCGGGTCTCCAGAGGTGAAAGGAGCGTGGATTAGCCCACTGTGCTGCCTTGCCCACAGCATCGTATAATATTAATTAGTCACCTTCCTTATTATTCAGTCAAAATATGCCAGACTGAAATAAATTACATTCTTAGCACATATTTCACACCCCTGGATCAAGTCTTGCAAGGGTTTTCTTTTATTATTTATAAGATCATGTGCTGTCTTCCTGCAGAAAATGAGATGGTCTGCATGAGGAAAAAGGTAAAAGAAATGCAGAGAAATGAAACAATCAGATATTCCCTAATGATATTTAAAAATAGAAAATTTGCTACTGTTACATACAGCCTGTTCCATCTTTTGAGATTTAATGGCTCTCTTGTGGTTTAATGGAGAATTACTTTCAGTAATTGATTATTAAAATTTAAAATTGCTAACCATCTTCATTATTAGATGAGCGAACATGTTATCCTTGTAATTAAAAAAAAGCCCGAGACTCACTTTCATCCTGTTGACAGAGCGGGCAGACTGTCTCCGCACTCACTGGATGGTTTCAGGGTTCTTGTTTGACAAAAATAGCCAGCCCGTCATTTGATGATGAAAATGCAGTGCATCCGCAGAGACGGAGCAGGGAATATAATGAACGAAAAATAATAAAATAATAAAGAGCTGTACAAGCTAATTAAAGTTTTCAGTCCCGACTCATTAAATGCTCTGCATCGCTTCTGTGATATTGCAATGCGCGGTGCTCAGGTACCGCCGGGCGCTGTCACCTTATTCCAGCCTCAGAAGGCATACCCCTCTCCTCCTCCGCCCGCAACAGCGCCTAACCTTTCACGCTTCACCTCAAGATGTTACCGTTACAAAATGTTTGTTTTGGCAACGGACTGCTGAAATGGGTACTGGAAAGGTACAGTGTGATTTCCTGCTCTCTCCGCTGTGTCTAGGATGTTTCTAGAACGGCATAGAGAGCTCCAAAGCTAAAGTGCCCTGCTGAGCCCAAACACGGGTACCTCAGCATCCCTTAGGAAGTCCCACATCCTAAGAGAGAAAGCTTTGTCAGTCAGTTATCCACACGCAGGGGGCGCAGAATTCGCCTTGATGAGAGCTTGCATGCCCTTCAAAGTTTTCCTCATGTTGGAGTGTGCGTTTTGTGAAGGCAGCCCTCAGTGATTTCCAAAAGGAACTTTTATAACTGTCAATGAAAAGAGCCAATCAAAGCGGACATTTTTCACAATTCAAGTATTAGACAGATGTCAGCCTTGGAGACGAAAATCCAGCAGATTTGAGGAGCACAGATATGAGTGAAGATGTTTGTACATAATTTTTTTTTTCCTGAAAATCAAGGAAAGCCATCTGAATGTCAGCATTTCTGTAAAGTCTCGATTGTTTAACTCATGAAATCCTTGCTCAAATGTCAATTTTTTTAAATTAATCAATGGCTTGCTAATATTTTTATTCAGACCCTCAAAGATGTCCTCTCTGCTTCAACTCAGGCAACCTTGCTCATTCTTTAATGCAAATTGCCACCCTACCCTTCTTTGTCCACACTCAAAGACTATGATATCACTGGTCAGTATTTAGATGGTGCTGTGAAGCTGTTCTCATGCACTGTCCTTTCATTTGTCTTCCCAATTAGATTATGTGATCCTCAAGAATAAGAGAAATTTATTTTATTTCTTCTGCTATTTTCACTTACCTATGTAGCCTCTTACCTGATGTTGAGCTCAGCAGACATCAAGTCTACCTCCCATCTTACTTCTTATTGGGTTAGATATGGAAGTTTGACAAGAAGCTGAGATATTCTATACTAATTAAATATAACCTTGAATTTAAAACCTGTTCAGAGTAGAGCAGCCTTTTTCAACCAGGTAACAATTTTCTCAATTCTCCCAAGAATGGTACATAGCTAGTTGCATTCTGGATGCATATGATATCAGCAAATTCATTACATAAAATTAGTATTAGGGCTTAATTCTCAAAACTTCATGAGGAATCCTGATATAGATTGTTCTTTCAGATTCCTTCAACAAATTCTCAAAATCATTAACAAATAAGAAAATTCCTTTCTTCTTTCATAGTCTTTCTGGCTTTGGTGATATAACAACATTCCTCCTGAAATATAAAATGTCAACCAATTTTTCAAGCCATCTCACAATGTCACCTCCTCATAATCACTGTTGTATACCCTAACACTATGGCATCTTACTTGTGCTAATGATACACACAGTTCCCTTTTTTATCAGTACCACTATTAAATTATAGTCATGCTGTCAGCATAATTCACTTATGAACATTTTTCTACCTCTGTCAGCACCTAGCACTGAGCTTTTAATGTGTAAGAGATTACAGTAATTAGTAACTGAATAAATGAATAGGTGAAATCAAGAGAATGATCTAGTCCCAGATTTTTTTTCTATCTCTTAATCTCCTTTCTTAAATTTAAATATGAATGAAAATAGCTACCCAATATAAGGGTACTGATTATGGATTTACAAAATATTTCTTTCTCATATAGGCATCAAAAATGTATATTTGCACAAATTTCTGATCTTCCCATTTCAGTTGATGGCAATTTTATAGTTTCAGTGTCTCAGGCCATGACCTCTGAGTCATTCTGAACCTTTCTTTCTCTCATAACCCTTATCCGATCCATCAACAGATTATATCAGCTCTTCTATCGAAATAGATCCATACCATTTCTCACCACCTCCATTACTATCATCTTGTTTCAAGGTACCATCATCCATCCCATAAATAATTCTTTTTCCTCCTAATCTCTGTTACAGCATCACTTGGTTCTAGTCATTCCTCTCCCCAAATCCTCCAGTGATTCCAGTTTTCTTACAATGGCCTACAGAGTCCTACAAGATCAGCCTACCCCTCTTCTCCCTACTGTCGCCAGGTGTTCAGGCCTTCTTGTTCTTCCTCCATCCAAGCACTCTCCTGCCTCAGGAAATGCCCCGAGGCCTTTGCACATGCTCTTCCCTCAGCTCCGTTAGCTCTTCGCTGACATAAACAGAATTAGATATTTAATCCCTCCTTTTTTATGCTACTATTCAAATATCACCTTACTATTAAGACTTTTAGAGATGTATAAATCTGTTTTTTCTACAACCAACTTAATCTACTTAATTTACAAGGCAGTTTTTAAATGGAGAAATAACACAAAAATGATAAACCATTTACAGAATATCACCATATCAGAGGAAAATCCAAATGCTGACATAGTTTGGATGTATAATATGGGAACATAATGTAGAAATGCTATGGCTTCCTAGAAGGAGACTGCTAAAAACGCTTTTCCCCTGTTGCTTCTGTCTCAGCCCTTTCATATTTCACAAATGGTGAGAGTGCCTGAAACGCGTTCTCAGAAGGTTATT